TTTTTTTTTTCAAATACATATATCATGTCAAGATATTCCTCATAGTTTTGAAGATTAAATTCAATACTGAGTTTATCAGCTATTATCTCGAAATGTTGAAAGTAAAACAAATACTAGTACTAGTAATTGATGTAATTAAAATCATTCAAATACGCTATGACTATCGCTAATTCCTCTTTTTTCCATCAGTTATGCACTTGGTTTCAGGTTGGTGTATTTTGTGTATTAATGTTTTCCTAGGTGCATGTGTCTAAGATTAGCACGTTTCAAAAATGTCGTTTTACTGTATATAGGTACGACATTTGCCATTTTCGGAAAATCTAGAGGGATTTGTTGTCTCTGTCATTCTGGGACGCCTCAACATTCTACATATTTAAAATCGTCACTTCCTTTGCTATCAGTTGCGGTGCTAAATATCAAGAAGTTTTTGTTTACTGCATATTTTATACGGCAAGTTCAAATTGGCAGACGATTGAAAGGTGTTATTCAATCATTTTTAAATGTAGATTTCACCCGAAATTATGTCCGAAACTGGTAGGAAAATGTAGATATTGATTAAAATCAAGAGTGACCCGAGCCCGGTACCTAGTAAGGGCAAAATCTACATTTAAAAATCCTTAAAAAATCCTATGTGTTTGAAAAAAACCACCATCACATGAAATAACCACAGCACAATATAATAAAGCACCACCTCCATATGAAATAACCACAGCATAATATAATAGAGCACCATCTTCATATAAAATTACCACAGCATAATAGAGCACCATCTTCATATAAAATAACCACAGCATAATATAATAGAGCACCATCTTCATATAAAATAACCACAGCATAATATAAAAGAGCACCATCTTCATATAAAATAAGCACAGCATAATATAAAAGAGCACCATCTTCATATAAAATAAGCACAGCATAATATAAAAGAGCACCATCTTCATATAAAATAACCACAGCATAATATAAAATAACCACAGCATAATATAAAAGAGCACCATCTTCATATAAAATAACCACAGCATAATATAAAATAACCACAGCATAATATAAAATAGCCACATAAGGCAGCTATGGCGTTCCATATCTTTATGTTGTGTTAACTCTTTATCATGTTGATTCCAAAAGTTCATTACCTGATGTTAAAATACATTTACATTATCTCAAAGCTGTTTATCTAGTATATAATGAATGTTGACGACATTGTTTTAATGACTGGTAAGAAGAGGGGGGGGGGGGTCCTGATTGATTAGGACGAATTACGGCCACATAATATCAACCCCCCTCTTTTCCAGACATAACTTTACTATAGAAATTTAGTGTTCATTGAAAGTACAGCCCCCATCCCCACTTTTTGTTGAAGTATAGTCCACTAAGGGTAATGTTGTATATCTGGGAAAAAAATAGGACTAGAAGTTGAACCCGCTTCCCCGAAATAGAATTTTCGGGCTTGGACAATTTTTTTTCTTGTAAGTTTTTTCGGGTAAATATTTTTTTTCAGTTCTGCATGGCTGACCTCCTCTTTCAAAAAAAGATGCTACGTCACTGGAATTAGTAATTTTTTTTAACCATTCCAGGGCAAGAATTCTATTACAAAAATCTACCAGTCGCTCATCTAATTCAATTAGATATGCCTTAGTAAGCATGCATGGGCACATATCAGTGGCGGATATGGGAATCTTGAACAAGGAAGGGTGACGGTATATGTTGGAGACCAAGGGCGGAAAGCGGAGAAGCTCTCAGGCTTTATAGTTTTATAGAAAAAAGTTTTCAACTTAATGCAATGTCCTACAAAGTTTAAGACTTTTATCAAAAAAAAATTCAAAATAAAAAGAAAAAAAATTCTGCACAACTCATAATATTTGATTTATTTAATTATCTGATTAAAGTAAACACCATTGAAAATTTTCGACGTGACTTTAATTCACAGTCGCATTGTTAAGGCTTTGCACGTTTCAAGATAGTCAATAATTTGTCGCTTAAAGTTTTCATTTAAAGTTGTCATTCCTACGACAGTTTTCTCTACCGCCACTTTTAGTCAATTGCGGAACGCGGAAAATACGTTAAGCTCATATATAAAATATAGGATACTATGCATGTTCGCATAACGTAATAGTGAATCGACATAATGTAGAAGAGTGCGCACAGTATGACAAGAGCTTTTCACATCAGTTAATAAAAACTTAGATGTCTTGAAAAGTAAACATAACGAAATGCAAGTTGACGAAATATAATTGTAGTATGTGTAAATGTCATAACGAGTTGACATAATCATAATGTAAAGGAAAGTTAACACGAAGCAATAGTAGTGTGGGTAAATGTCATAAAGAGTTGACATAATGTAAAGGAAAGTTAAAACGATGCAACAGAAGTGTGTTTTAATGTCATAAAAGTAGACATAATGTAAAGGAAAGTTGACACAATGTAATAGTAGTGTGAGTAAATGTCATAAAGAGTTGACATAATGTAATGGCAGGTTTTCACGATGCAATAGTAGTGTGGGTTAATGTCAAAAAGAGTTGACATAATGTAATGGCAGGTTCTCACGATGCAATAGTAGTGTGGGTTAATGTCATAAAGAGTTGACGTAATGTAAAGGAAATTTAACACGAAGCAATAGTAGTGTGGGTAAATGTCATAAAGAGTTGACATAATGTAAAGGAAAGTTAACACGATGCAAAAGTAGTGTGCACGTGGGTAAATGTCATAAAGAGTTGACATAATGTAATGGAAGGAACGACACAATGCAAATGTAGTATGGGTTAATGTTATAAAGAGTTGACATAATGTAATGGAAGGTTGACGCAATGCAGTTGTTGTGTTCTGCTATAAGGCAGTGACGGCGTTCCATACAACTCATTACCGCTACAAACCGAATCGGCCAGCAAAGGCACGGAACATAAGTTATATTTAATTGTAGCGTATGGAACGCCGTCACTGCCTTATAGCAGAACACTACTATAATAATTGCATACATGTCAACCTTCCATTACATTATGTCAACTTTTTATGACATTAACCCACACTACTATTGCATTGTGTCAACCTTCCATTACATTATGTCAACTCTTTATGACATTAACCCACACTACTATTCCATTGTGTCAACCTTCCATTACATTATGTCAACTCTTTATGACATTAACCCACACTACTATTGCATCGTGTTAACTCCTTCAACACATTTACAATACTACAATTATATTTCGTCAACTTGCATTTCGTTATGTTTACTTTTCATGAGATCTTAGTTTTTATTAACTGATGTGAAAAGCTCATGCCATACTGTGCGCACTCTTCTACATTATGTCGATTCACTATTACGTTATGCGAACACGGGTATCCTCGGCCTTTATATGAGCATAACGTATTTTCCGCGTTCCGCAAGCACTAAAAATGGCGGGAGAAAAAAAACTGTCGTAGAAGAGATTCTCAGCGATTTGGGAATGACATCTTTAAATGAAAACTTTAAGCGACAAATGATTGACAAATCTTGAATCAAATATTATGAGTCGTGCAGCAATCATTTTTTTTTCTGTTTATTTTGAATTTTTTTGTAATAAAAGTCTTAAACTTTGAAGGACATTGCATTAGTTTCACAGTAAGCTTAGCTGAATTAAGTTGAAAACTTTTTTTATAAAACTATAAAGCCTGAGAGCTTCTCCGCTTTCCGCTCTTGGTCTCCAACATATACCGTCCCCCTTCCTTGTTCAAGATTCCCATATCTGCCACTGATATGTGCCCATGCATGCTTACTAAGGCATATTCAATTGATTTAGATGAGCGACTGGTAGATTTTTGTAATAGAATTCTGGCCCTGGAATGATTAAAAAAAAATTACTAACTCCAGTGACGTAGCATCTTTTTTTGAAAGAGGAGGTCAGCCAGAAAAAAAAAATCATTTACCCGAAAAAAAATTGACAAGCCAAGAAAAAAAAGTGCAAGCCCGAAATCCTACTTCGGGGAGAGGGGTCCAACTTCGATCAGTCCTATATTTTTCTAGATATCTTACATTCCCCTTAGTGGATTATACTTCAACAACCAGTGGGGGTGGGGGGCTATACAGTTTCAATGAACATTACATTTTCTATAGTCAAGTTACTAGTATGTCTGGAAAAAGAGGGGGTTGATATTATGTGCCTATAATTTGTCCTAATCAATCAGGACCCCCCCCCTTCTTACCAGTCATTAAAAACGGTCGTCAACATTCATTATATACTAGATATACAGCTTTGAGATAATGTAAATGTTTTTTTAACATCAGCTAATGAACTTTGGAATCAACATGATAAAGAGTTAACACAATATAAAGATATTTTTTCAATCACATAAGAAAGAGTTGACATAACGTAATTATATATCCACATCACGGAATGGAGTTTTGACATAATGTAATAAAGTATTGATGTAATATAAAGATATGTTCACATTATGTTATACCCTTTTTACACCACGTAATAAAGCACTGACATAAAGGTACGATGTGTTCACCTCACATCATGATGCCCCTCGCCGTAAAATAAAGATAAATCAATATCACGTAATAATGCTTTGATAAAATAGAAATATACACTTTCAAAATGTAATGGGCTTTTGACTTCATGTAATGGTAAGTTTATTTATAAAACACAATTTACTTGACGTAAAGCAATTTTGACCTCACATATTAAGAAAATGAAATGATGTAAAGAAAAATTCATTTCATGCAATAAAGTTTTAACACAATGTAAACACATTATCACTTCACATAATGATTTTTTTACTTCAAGTTATGAAGTGCTGACATAATGAAAGGATGTATTTACTTCATGTAATGCAGCATTGACATGATGTTAAGATATATTTACATCATCTCATAAAAAATGGACATAACGTAAAGATATGTACACATCACGTAATGATAAATTGACATAATAAATGCATAGTTGTATGCTATAAGGCAGTGGTGGCGTTCCATAGTAGCGGTAATGACTATGTAGCGGTAATGATGCACACCAGTTTTGGCTAGTTATTGTTAACAATTTAAATGCCATATTGAAATAAGAAGGTCCGGTTCTAATTGGTGTGAAGTAATCACTGCTTTGCTTTTATAGTCACAACCAAGGGGGACACGGTCTAAATTGAACCCTTTGATCGAAGTCACGGTCAGACCAAGAGCATAGACACAAAGCCCCATATACACATCCTCTAGGTGGAAGAAGGGAACATGAGGGGAAATCTCAAACAATTTCCTAGCCATGTGAACCGAAGTTACATATCCGGTTCCGGAACAGAAACCCGGATAGATCTTCTGTGGATACATCCGGTACGATGCGTACCATTTAGAACTTCTTTGTCTCAGAGGAGTTGCCCTCGTCCAGCAATATCCTCCAATGGATTCATATAAAAGGTCCTCATACTGATCAAGAGCAATTTTTAGAGAATCCGTGTTTACATACATATCATCGTCTGTCTTCATCATATACTGAGCCTCATTGCAGTACGTGCTGACCCATTTCATAGCCATTACTGCTTTATAGGTGAGGTTAAAATGACTGTCAATAAAATTTTCTTGAACAATATCTTTATGAATTGCACTTTCTTTCTCAAGTTCCAATTGTAAACTGTTGTTTT